TATATATATATATATATGTGTTTGGTAGGTAGGTGTAACAAGGTAGGCAGATGAACCCCAATGTTTCCCAATGTACACACATGTATAGTATACGCTAGGAAAGAAAGGAATTTATCATTTGAGACTTATACTGTTGACATATTGTATACATTCGACCGCACGCACTTGCTTTTCGCAGCGCCGGGCGAGTACACGAACATAGAGGTCGCCACCGCCGTGACGCTCATGACGGGGCTCTTCCAGATAGCGATGTACGTCGTTAACCTGGGCAGTCTGACGACGTACCTGTCCGACCAGCTGGTGAGCGCGTTCACGACGGGCGCGGCGATGCACGTCTTCACCTCGCAGCTGAAGCACATCCTCGGGGTCCGCACGACGAGCCACAGCGGCGCCTTCCAGATCGTCTACATCTACATCGAGCTGCTGCGTAACGTCACCGACGCCAACATGGTCGCCCTGCTCACCTCTGTCGCCTGCATCCTCACCCTCGTCATCGCGAAGGAGGTCATCGACCCGCGGCTCCGCCCCATCATCAAGATGCCCATCCCCGTGGAGCTCGTCGTCGTCGCCGCGGGAACGGGACTCGCGCACTACCTCCGCCTCGCCGACGGGTACGATTTAAGCATCGTCGGGTCGGTGGCGTCGGGGATTCCGTCGCCGTCAGCGCCACCTGTTGGGCTGCTGAGCCGCGTTGTCGGCGACGCGTTCCCAATCGCCGTCGTCGCCTTCACGATCACCGTCTCGATGGCGAAGATCTTCGCGCGCAAGCACGGGTACGAGGTCGACGCGAACCAGGAGCTGTTCGCGGGCGGCGCGGCGAACGTCGTCACGTCGTGCTTCGGCGGTTTCGCGTCGTCGGCGTCGCTGTCACGCAGCGCCGTGCAGGAGAACGTCGGCGGGCGCACGCAGGTCGCCGGGGTCGTGGCGTGCGCGCTCCTCCTGCTCGTGCTGCTCGTCGTCGGCCCGTTCTTCGGCACGCTTCCGAACGCCGTTCTCGCGTCGATCATCATCGTCGCGCTCAAGGGCATGTTCCGGCAGTACCGCGAGGTGCCGCGACTGTGGCGGCTCTCGAAACCCGACTTCCTCATCTGGCTCGTCACCTGGGCGGCGACGGTCTTCATCGACGTCAAGTACGGTCTCGTGATCGGCGTCGGCTTCTCGTTACTGACGATCGTCTGGCAGACGCAGCGGCCCTTCATCGCGATCATGGGCTGGCTGCCCGGCTCCAACGTCTACAAGGCGATCAACGTCTACCAGCCCGTCGTCGAGGTGCCCGGCGTACGCATCTTCCGCTTCGAGGCGTCGCTGTACTTCGCGAACGCCGACTCGTTCCTGGAGCGGCTCTTCAAGCTGACGGGGATCGGACGCCGCGGGAAGCAGCCGCCCGCGGCCGCCGCCGCCGCCGACATGGTGTCCGTGGACGAGCTGGGAAGCATGACGATCTTCCCGGACGCCGCGGCGGCGGATCCGACGCGTTTCGTCGTCGTCGACTGCTCGATGTTTGGCTACATCGATCTCTCGGGCGTCGCCGCGCTCAAGGAGGCGGTGCGTCGCTTCGACGAGGCCGGCGTCGAGGTGCTGCTGTCCGGCTGCAGGTTCCGCGTGCGGCAGACGCTTCACCGCACCCGATTCTTCGACGACGTGCCGCAGAAGCGGCTGCACCTGACGATACACGACGCGATACTGTACGCATCGAGTCGGCTGCCTGGCGGCGGCGTCGGCCTCGATGAGATGTTCCCCTGCGACGACCTGTGCATCAACAACAATCCCGTGTAGCGCGCGTGAGAGAGGGCGCCGTCAGCGTCTCGCGAAACCGTATATGTTGCCGTTATCGGAGAGAGGCTTTCAACCACCGTGACAGGTCCTATGTGCTGCAGTGGCTAGGTCAAGTGTAGTGTAGTGACCCGAGAAGAAGAAGATTATCAGTAACTCGCACGCGCCTCACGATTTTGGTGGCAACAGCAATAAGCAATATGTCACGCAGTCGCATGCGCAGACGATATCTGTCTGACTGTGCCTAGTTTACCGAAGAAGGATGTTACTGTGTGGTAACTTAACGGAGAACGTGACGGCAGACTGGATGAAATTGTTAAGTAGATGGCAGTGAGTGTACATGGTAGTATATATATTTAGTTACACGAAATTAAGCATATCATAGTCGTGCCAAGTCATACCACGAGTAGATATTTATTTTGTGAATCTCCTTGCCAGCCATTTCGCTCACTAGATGGCAGCAGTTTTTCATACCAAAAAATCTTTTATTTATGAGCAATTATTCGCGCGGGTACATAAAAAGTATAGTATTACTGGGCTTCATGTTTTTAAATTATACATGTTAGAATATTTGTTTTGCATTTATGTATAATGTCTGTTCGTTTTTAAATGTTTGCCATAAATGCAACTTGTGTTTACAAACCAAATCAAAACAGAAACATACCCGAATGTTGTATTCCAGAAAGTTTAGCACTGTCCAGTGGTCGGCTAATCTGAAGACACTCCTTCATTTCATACCTCTAAGAGTTGTTGGATAGATAGAAAACCAGTAAATCTAACTCTATGGATTTAGTTAGTATGTACTGGTAAAGCTTTATGCAATATTCAGTGTCTATAGCCACTGACATTTCATTTGATCTACAATGTCTCGGACACGTTTTAATGCACATTTTATTTATAGATATGTGCGTATAAAGTGTACATTTTGTAGTATTTATTTATTATTTCATATTGTTTTGATAAACTCTATACACAATATTTTTTATGACATTTGCATTATCTTCTATTTCAGTTGACCATTTAGTATGCACTGCTGTGCCCCTGCTGTATATGTGTATGTATTTTATGTATATATAAAACTGGGAGTAAATAAAGCAGCTCCCCTACTTAGGAACAGGATAGGTTCCTGATTGTTTGTTTGTAAGTCCAAATGTTCAGAAGTTCAACATTACTCTTATAAAGACTGAATACATAGCACTGTACACAGCATTGTAAGAAAAGGTTTTTACAGTACAGCTAAACCCAAATGATACTCGGCAGTATTACTTAAAGTCTGAGGAACAGGGAGTGGGAATGGCTTTAAAGATTGTATAACCTGTACATGTAGATGGCATTTAATTGTTCGTATCTCTGAAAGTTCGTGACTTGAACGTTTGTAAGTAGGGCTCAAGGGGTCGTTGTCGTATCAGGTACTACAGATATGTACCCGAGGTACATATATGTATACACAAAGTGTACCAGTCTTGTACTACAGAAGTGTACCCTAACCCTAATCCTAACCCTAAACAAACCTCATATAAAAATATAAACATAATACTAAACAACCTAAAACTACCTCGGGTACATATCTGTAGTACCTGATACGACAATGGCCCCATCTGCGTAAGTATAGGGCAGTGCCTGTAATAGCCAAGTTTGTTTTCATTCACTCATGATATAACAGTATCATACTCCATGAGCTCCCACCTCTTTGCCTTTTCTTGATTGAGAATATATGTTGAGAATATATCATGCCTTTTTTTTATAATGACTATTTTGTACGTGCATGCAAGACGTTGACTTGGCACACGTGTTGGTCTTTGCACCAAATACGCACAGTGTATTTTTCTTCTGAATGAACGAACATATATAACAACAGTGTAATACTTTGTAATGTTTAGAGGAGGCAGTGTTTGATTGTCAAGTCTCAAGTTTATAGCTAAGTAAAGCTGAGAGGGTCCATGTCCCCCAGGGTACTGCCGGAACGTACCCTGGTACTATCTAATATAATATGCCGGACCGTACCTTGCCTACTCCACTAACGAGTCTAGGGAGTCGCCTACGCCTACTCCCTAACCCTAAGTTCCTAACCCTAACCCTAACCATATCAGCTAGAGTTACCAGGGTACGTTCCGGCAGTACCCGGGGGGACATAGACCCTATGAGCGTCAGTTAGCCGCGCATTTGCGAAAATGAGGGCCGGTGACCCAACCTAGGATTCCAGGGGCGTGTACAGGATTTATACCAGGGGGGGTCTCGCTAATCGTAACCCAAACTTGCAAGCACGCGAAGGGGGGGGTCTGGGAAATTTTTGAAATTAGACCCCCTTATAGATGCGTTTTCTGCGCGAGCAGGGGGGGTCCGGACCTCCTGGACTCCCCCCCCCCTGTACACGACCCTGTGATTCATCATATAGCATCAGTGGCATAGCTAGGATTTTTTCATCGGGGTGGGGGCCTTACATTTTCGTGGGGGGGGGGGCACAATATATAACTTTTCTTTGTATTATACTGTTCTAACGGAATTGTTTTTAATTCGATTTTTTTTTATCAAGCATGAATTTTCAGTGGGGGGCACGTGCCCCCCCCCCCGTAGCTACGCCCCTGTAGCATCAGTCAGGGATCAGTCAGCACTGGTCAAAAGTCAAATTTAGTTGAACAGCTGGGGGTCAACGTTAATTTAACAGATATGCAATAATTCCGGATGCAATGCAAGCATTTGTCACGATTCCCGTTGTTCCGCTAACTCGGCAAACGCTGAGTGGACGGTCGACGGAAGTCACGGATCAGCGCGTACGTTGTAAAAGTTTGCGTGTTGCCTCTTTGAGCCCCAGTGGGGATAGGGTGATAATCTTGGTATTGTCAATACTATAATATTGACTATAATTGTGAATAGCGATACCAATAAACATTGAAATTAGATGTGGCGCATTGGTATTACAATGTTGTTAGCCATCGAAAACGAATTACATTATAGCACGTTGCAAATACACGCGTTTTTATTCCGAAATCGCCTAGGGTCTAACTCGTGTTTATTCGACACGTTTCCCAATACCCCCGGTTTACATCCGTATCGCTACCGACCAATGACGTTCCACCACGATCGGGATGCCGGGGTCTAAAGAGCGCAGGCGCAAACAGCCGTCGGTCTTTGCCACGTTGAACCTCCGCCTGATAGACACGAAACCGATTTCCTATAACAAAATGAAGATCTTTGGACTGTTCTGTCTGGCCGCTCTCAGTCTTACCGTGAGAGCAGAAATCATTGAAGATGAGAACGTTCTGATACTGACGAATGACAACTTTGACGAAGCTGTGAAAGACAACGCGTTCATCCTTGTTGAATTCTGTAAGTAAAAACCTTGTAAAATCAATCATCAATGTTCAGTATGTGCGCGAATAGGTTTACAAATTATATTCCACCCACTCCGCTATTAGTACCTCATGCACACGTTTATTATTCATGGTATTCATAATAATGACTAGCACGCAATCATTAATTATAGTATCTTCCATAAATAGAGAATGCTGTAGCCATGTGTGGTTGAACTTGGAGTGCGTGATGGTTACTTAGACCTTATCTAACCTATACTACCTAGTATATGAATTATGATATCTTCAGTCTAGACTTAGTAGTAGTTGTACTGCCAAGCTATACATGCTCATCTATATGCTAACGAAATATGCATTCATATTCATTTGTACTATGCTGATGTAAAATTTCATTAGCAAATCTTAACTGTCTTGAAATCGAAGTGGTACAGCAATGTTTTCACAATAAACTTTTGAAGAATCCAACCCCTGACTTTTTTACACATTTCTGAGGGGGATTCCCATCCTCTATTCCTGGCTCATAGAGGACATTTTCATATATCGTGCTCACATAATAGTGTAGCTAAACAAGGTTTCTTTTATCAATTTTAATTTGCTACATAGCATACATAATAAACCTTTCTATGGAAGTACGGCCAAGAGATGGCCACACATCGAAAGATTTGTGTTAGCAAATGTGTATTGATGTTAGTCATGCAGCTTCATATTCATAATCCCAATTATACATTCGCTTTCGATAGGTTCCAACCAACTGCGACATTTGCATCACAGTAGCAGCAGTTGTGGTCTTAGTTAAAGGTCTCTGAAAACTGTACATGTACACGCGAAGTATGTCACGTACATCTTAAATTCGAATTTATTACTGTTGGTGCAAAGTTCCTTGATCCCGTACTTTGCCCACTAGGCAGTGTAGGCACTACCATGCAAAAGGCAGTAATGCACATTGCTAATAGTAATACTGATATTGCTGTGTCACGCAAAGTGCTGGCACTGGTGTTAGTATTTCTGTGATACTTTTCACCAATTATGAGATAGTGACATAGTCGGAATCCACCGGCTACAAGTACTACAAGAGCCGATGAGCATGTATAGCTTGGCAGGTCAGTGCAAGTTGATGATAGTTTAACAGCCTTCTCCACAAAGCATGTATGAGTGGGCACCACTCTAAAATCACTCCCACTAGAAACCTGTTTGTATATATTTGGTATATGTCAGGGGTCGAATTAGCCGCTAGCCCGCTATCCCGGGACTAGTAATTGTTTGGAAGAGCTAGTTAAAAGTCAGGGTGGCTTGCCCGTCGGGCAAGTAAATCGCAGAGGCTACGGGTACGGCACCCGTATCTTAATGTCTCGAGGATACGGGTACGACAGTCCCACACACAAGTACAAACAGTCACCCTAACCCAACACCCAACCCCCAACCCAACCTAACCTAACCTAACCTAACTCTAACACTAACTCTAAACCGACTCAGCTATCTTATATACGCGTGTCATAGTACCCAATTAATCTATGGTGTATAACCTTTTGCTTTCAATATTTTGCATCTGAACTGACAATCAATCTCAACCAACTGCATGTGTAGGCTAGCTGGCACAATAATGTTCATTTTCATACTGCTGGACATCTACTAGAGTCGATGGTCTGGAAGAGATATCCTGTGGAAGGGATGTACGCCGAGCCAATTTAAGTGTTTTGTCATGCATGGTAGCATTAACACAGCGGTTCCCACAAATCTTGGTGTATTGAACTTTCTACAGAGTAATTCTGCTAGATGCCTATCTATGAGACTAATGTGTGCTACCGTGTGTGTGGAAATACTGTGCAGTAATTACATGTCTATGTGCATATGTTCAAATTCTGTGAATTTACGCACAAATTCTAAACCTCACTACTCTAAGGTCCCGATCTATGCTGTGAATCTTGATTTACTTTGTGCACATGCCACATCCTGCCTTCCAATAAAATACGTGTAAAATATCCGTAGCTCAAGCATGCGTTGAATGTGTCAAACCAGTATTATATATGTGTCATAAATTCCCATTAATGAGGTTGTTCTTATAGCTGGTTTTGTGGGTTCTGGCCTATAGAACTGCTGATTATTGATTTACCAGTTTCTCTCCTATTATACGTCCTATTATACGTCCTATTATATTAGTCGCCATTGAGTTACTGATAGCTGGTTATCTTTTCTGTGGGTACCAGCATGCAACCAGTAGATACGATGGTATAATTATGTACTCGGTAACTGGTGTATCAGTAGATTCAGTACCAGGATACATGTGAGCAGTAGCACGTTTATATACATGTCAGCTGATGTGTCAGTACCACCAGCATGCAACCGTCGAACCATTTATATATATACAAAAGAGCCTGTGTTATTGGCTACATCTATAGACTTGCCTCGGGCGATCCTTACATATGGGTTTGGACCGTCTGTACCCCGTCGTCTATTGATGTCCTGATTATCGATTATAGTCGAAAGTCAGTCGTTTGTAGACCGACTAAGCGCTCGATTATAAAAATAAATAATTATTAAAAAAAGTAATAATTTACTATTAAAAACAATTTCAATAAAATGTGCAAACATTGATGAAATGGCCCTTTATTTCATTTGTGTGTTTTTTGGTTACTTTACAGCTTAAATCTAACCTACACCAAAAATAAGCAGGTATAATACTGTTACATAGCTTTCAGATTATATTGTAATATATAAAATATGTGATATATGATGTATTTCAATATCTGGTAGCCGCGATCAATAACATTCAACCGATTATCTTCGATCATCGATCGTTTGAGTGCAACCGATGAGCGATGATGAAATTCCAATCGATTCCCATCACTACCGTCGACTGGTCCATTCATCCGTACCCCATCCGTGTGACTCGGGAGACTGACCGTGACAACTACGCATCATCCCTCACTTGTCGTTCTCTCTCGCCTACAGACGCACCATGGTGCGGCCACTGCAAGGCGCTGGCGCCCGAGTACGCCAAGGCTGCCACCCAGCTGCTGGACGAGAAGTCCGAGGTCCGGCTCGGCAAGGTGGACGCGACCGAGGAGAGTGCGGTCGCGGAGAGGTTTGAGGTGCGCGGCTACCCGACGATCAAGTTCTTCAAGAACGGCCAGCCGACAGAGTACTCAGGTGAGCAGGGTGTGATCTGGAGGTGGAGGGCTGGGGCCGGTTTGGCCAGAGCCGCTCTGAGGCGCGGATGGAAGAGGTGGGGCGGTCGCAGAGGCGCTGAGGCGGCCGGTATGGAAGAGGGCTGGGGCACGGTCGCAGAGCACTGGCCCGGGGGTCCGGTGGCGGAAGTGGGCGTGCAGGGCCTGGGTTGCTGGTGGCGCCGAGCTAGGGCCTGTGCGTGTGGCCAGAGCACTGGGGGCGTCCGGTGGCGAAGTGGCTGTGGGCTCCCCGGTGACGGGGCTGCGGTTGTGGTGGCGACCCGAGCTTACGCTGTGGCGTTGCCGTGCGCCAAGAGCAGCTGCGGGTTGGTGCGCGAAGTCGCGGCGTGAGGGCCTGGGTTGTGCGTGTGGCCCCGAGCTAGGGCTGTGCGTGTGCAGCAGCACTGGGGCGTGGTGGCAGAAGTGGGGGCGCAAGGGCTGGGGTCGTCGTGGTTGAGATCGATCGTGAGAGCTGGGAGTAGGGATGGGGTGGGGGCGGGAGCCAACGAGGACGACGAGAGGAGGAGAGGAGAGAGGAGAGAGGGAGAGAGGAGAGAGAGAGAGAAGAGAGGAGGGGAGAGAGGGGCTTGAGAAGACGAGCAGACGAGACGAGAGAAGAGAGAGAGACGAGGGAGAGAGAGTTGTAAGAGAGACGATGAGAAGAGAGCAGAAGAGGGGAAAAGAGAGGGAAGGCAGCATGTGGAGAGAGAGACGCAGAGTAGGTGGAAAGACGCATGGCCTCAGCTGATCTATTCACTGCGTGTAGGTCGGCCGTGATGCCCACGCCATCATTGCCTGGCCTGAAGCAAGAAGATCCGCGTTGTTCAGTTCATGCGCAAGACCACTCGAGAGACTGCCGACAGATGTCAAAAGAGCCTTCATTGAACGTCTGCCGACGGTCGTCGTCGTCGGGCCTTCTTCAAGGATGCCGATCAGAGCAGGCCGGGGTGAGTCCTGCTAGCTGCTGCCAGAGGGCGCCGGCGGGGCGCTGTCTCCGCGTGTTCGGTGCGATACGTGTTGTAGCGCCCTGGTGGGAGTGCCTCTAATGTCCCAATATCGTGTCTGTATGGCTTGCCCGCTGCAGCTATTCTGGTGTTATGCGCTTACACTGGGGTTTTCTTTTATTTTTTTTTCTGTTGTGGATCTGTGCGAGTTGTTTTAATGCTGGAAACAGTGTGGGGCCACCGACCCCCACCTTGAGTTATTCACTCCCAGTTATTCGATTGTCTGGTGGCTGCGCTTGAGCCCGCGCACTCCACACCTGATACAGTTATGTTTTGTGGTGTTTTTTTATGTGTTTATCCGTATGGGTGAGTTTTGTGATGTGGGGGTCTGTATCTCGCGTAAACATTGAGTAGGCTAAGATCCTTTGACAGCTGTTTGTGTTTTTGTGTGTTTTGTCCTCTTGTTGGGGTCTGTGTCTTACACTTCATATAACCCTGGGCGCTGTTGTCAGACCACAACGTCGCAATTAGATCTTAACATAGTCTTAACATTTACAATTTCTCCTTAAGACGTCGACCATCACGTTGTTTCGTATTGTTACCACAGGAAAGTCGCTACGATTTTTCATCTCGTAAATTCGGCAGCGTTTCTGTCAACGTCTAAGGATACCAAGGGAATGTTAAGACTAATGTTAAAGACAATTTTGTTTCGGACAACGGCGGGCCACCTGCGTCGCATATCTTCCAATCGATCCTTGCGACTCGTACTACATCGTGTCAATTAATTCTCTACTATGCTGATTAGCAACATCGTTTGCTGCATGGCCTTCGATGACGCTTCAGTTTGGCCTGCCTCTCAGGACGAGTCCGCTGTTTGACAGAGGCATGAAGCTGTAGGATGCAAGGTCATTCTCTTCATAAGGCCTAAGGGA